CACACGGCGCCTCGCACACACCCTGCGCTCGCGGGGCGGACCGGCCACCCCGCTGACTCTGCTGCCCCTTAGCGTCCACGTCTCCGGCAGTAGGAAGGTTCCGAGTGGCAGATTCCAGGGCGCCCGTCCCCACCCCGGGCCGTGCCCTTCCTCTCGGGCTTGCTTTTAGAAAGCCCGAGAAGCCCGAGACCTGCGGGTGGGGCGCGCTGGCCCAGGCCCAGCTGCGCTGGAAGCGGCTCTTCGCTGGGAACCCACAGATCTAGGGAATCGTTCTTTCTGCATGACACGGCAGGGTGGGGCGAGTAGAATCCGACCCACCTACAAGGTGTTCAGGGCCCTGCGAAGTTGTTCGGAGAGAAGGCCCAGGGAGTCGGCTCGGGGTCTTGCCGTCCTGGGGCCTGGGCCGCCCCCGCCCAGCTGCTCAGAGCCCCCAGAGCCGGGGCGTTTCAAACCCTTTGTGCAACAAGGGATTTACCCTTCGCGGTGTGTGGGGCCTCCCTTGGGCCACCGCTCAGCTTCAGCTGCGGCTGATGATATGAAAACCCAAGTTTCAGAACCTCTTTTTTATACTGATCCGGGCCTGCCTTCTAGGCTCTCAAAGTCTTGAGAGAGATTTCTTGAAGAAATTTCGAGAAAATCTAATCTTTGTTAGGATTCACTCCCTCTAAGTTCCCCTTTCCCACCACTCTTTCCTCCCCCACCCCCTGTCCCTCTGCTTCATAGACACATTTAAATGGTGGTTTAGGGATTAAGGTAAAAGGGGAGTCATGTAAATCGGAAAAGGAACCCCCCTCCCCCACCGGGATTTCCCTTCACGCTCTGCTCCCAGGGGAGACCCTGGAGGAGTGAGTGATCCCAGAGGAATGAGCAGATTGAAGGAATCCTCCAAGTGTCCCCACGTGGCTGGACTTGACTCTTGCCAGGAAGTCCAGCCGGGAATTCAGCCCGTGTTTCTGTTGGTGCGGACTGTACCAGGGGATAGTTCTCCAGCACCTTCCCATGGACTCCCCCGTTCATCGGTTCATCGCAGGCCTCAGGCCACGTTCACCAGCACAGAGAATCCAGGGTCCCCTTTGTCCCTGCAACTGGATGTAGAATGAGAGGGCCTGAGTGTGTAGACCCCTAATCACTCATTTAGGAGATTGGCACAATGGTTAAGCTCTCCACTGCTAATAAAAAGGTAGGTATTTCAAAGCCACTGGGAGCCCTGGTGGGGAAGTGCTTAGGCAGTGGGCTGCTAACTTTAAGGTCAGCAATTAGAAACCACTAGATGCTCAGTGGGAGACAAACCACGCTTTCAAGCCTCCTAGAGAGTTAAAGGTCTGGGAAACCCACAGGGGCCGTTCTAGAGGGTCACTTTGAGTAGCGATGGCAGTGAGCAGCTCCCCAGGGAGAACACCAGGTGATCGATCATACAGATTCCAGCCTGGGGAACCCTATGGGGCAGTTCCTTCTGCTCTGTCACGCTGGCACAAGCAACACTTAGCAGTTTTATTTCCTTGTTCGGTCTGTAAACCTTTAGGAATGCTTACTATATGCGGTAGGCTCTGGAAATTCAGAGACTAAAAATCTGTTCCCTTTCTCAAAGAGCCCCATTCTTACTGGGAGATAATAAGCAATTACTATCTAGCATGATTAGCGAATGATAAAGGAATGCGTTTTGAATATTGTGAGAATGTTAAGCAAGGGTCTCCAAGTTCCTGTGGAGTTGTCACAGAATTTTGGAGAGACATCATTTATTTATTATTTAATTGGGGGCTCCCACAGAGATTGTAATAATCCATACTTCAATTAGATCAAGCATAATTGTACAAATGCTACCACTATCAGTTTCAATACATTTTCTTTTTTCTTGAACTCTTTGATACCAGCTTCTCTTTATCCCTTCCCTTCCGCACCCTACTCCTCAGGAACCCGTATTGTTATATTATTATTATTTGGCGTATCTAACACCATCCAATGTATCCATTCACCTGAAATTCTGTTATTATTTTCCCTCAAGTGGGGTTATATCATCATTGCTATAAGCTCCCACTTCCTCCCCTCCACCTCTTCCCATACCCTTAGGGAATCATTACTCCCATTACTGTTTCTGAAGGGTTATCTATTTTGGCTATCATGCATCAAGCACTCTTAATTATACAAATAAACATACGCAGGTCTAACAAGGATAAAGACCATAATAGTAAGGGGAGGAAATATTAAAGAACTAGAGGATAGTTATGTGTTTCATCAATGCTGTACTGGTCCCTAGACTTATCATTCCTTCTATGTGGCCCTTCTGTGAGGGACTGTCCAATTATCTTGTAGGTGGATTGGGGTCTCAACTTTGTCCACATGCCTTCACGTCAATTTGATTGTTTGTTTTTGAACTTCTGATACCTATTCCTGTCAACACCTCAGGATCACACAGGCTTCTTCCATGTGGGCTTTGTTGCTCCCCTGCTAGCTGGCTGCTTGTTTAACTTCAAGCCTTTAAGATCCCAGATGCTATATCTTTTTAATAGCCGGATGCCATCAGCTTTCTTCACCACATTTGCTTACGCACTCATTTTGTCTTCAGTGACCCCATTGGGAAGGTGAGCATCATACAATGCTACCTTATTAGATCAAATCGTTCTCGTATTGAGGTGAGATTAAAGTAGAGGCCCAAAGTCCATCTATTGAATTTACATATATTTATTGAATTTACATATCTATCTACCTACATAGACAAATATTTCTATCTTTGTATGTTGCACATATATATCTATATTTATACCTATGTATGTAATTATTACTTTCTTCTTCTTTCCTCTATTTCTTTTTTTCCCCTCCTGCCCCACTATCATGTTTACCCATCATGTGTCTGTTAGGGATCCAAGAGTACCAATTGGTGCAGACAGCGCTAAGCCTGCCATGCCTTTACATACCTCTTTCCTATAGAAGTAGAACCGGGCAGGTCTTGCTGAGAAAATAGTTGTGCTTTCTATGACGTGGGGATACAGTGAAGTCAGGGACAACGTCTGAGCCAGAACTGCCCAGAAAGGAAGGATGTTGCTGGAGCAGGAGGTGAAGGGATGAGGTGTAGAGAGGACAGAGTGAACGGCCATCAGAGGGATGGGAACAGAGGTTCAATTCCGTGGGGTCTGGGCTGGAGGGGCAATGTCCAAGCTCTCTGTCTAGGATAGGTTCCGGCGCACTCAAGGCTGGAGGGATTGTTTCGCTGGGCACTTCCCAACTTCTTCATGTGGCGTAGCAACAAAACCTCATTACCCAGAGATTTTCCACTTTTGGAGGAGGTTGGCTGTGGCAAAGAGGGCTGTCTGTCCAACACAAGTGCTTGGTCCTTCTTCTAGAGCAGGGGTATCAAACTGGTGGCCTGCGAGCCACATGCGGCCCCTGGGGTAATTTTTTGTGGCCCACGATGCTCTGAAATAAAATGTAAGGAGGAAATTGTGTGTATGGTATTGCCTTGATCTCCCCTCAGCTATTTTCTTCATAACAATTTTTTTCTATTCTCATGACCCACAGGCTGAGAATTGCTGTTCTAGAGAGTAGAAATGCCGGGGAGTAGCTGCTCAGCCAGGGATTGTGTCCTAGGCCCACTTGCACTGACTCATCACCACCAGAGTGGAACTGGTGGTAGGTATGTCACTCGCTGGCCAAGTACAGAATCGGAAATGATGCTTGTCACGTGCAGGCAGGCATCTGGAGTGACTATTCTCCATTCTTTCTCTCCAGTGGCCAGACTCCGAGTCTCTAAGAGCGGAAAAGCCACAGTCAGAAGGCACCTGGGTCCCTGAGTCACTGTGTGGAGGCGAACCCCCTGCTGATCAGGCGCACCAGCATTCATGGGTGAAAAGGAGGTGTTTGTGTGGAGGTATTTGTTTCAACCTAACCCTATAAGATACAGCGGCACTCTTGGGTACAAGTGTTTGGGGCAGCACATTTTAAAGGATTAGGTTGCATTTACATTAGCGGTGGCACTATTGGAGTCGAACATTTACTGCTCTGATCTCGCCTCTCTCTGAGATACTCCGAGGAGGTCGGATTCTTGCAGACCTGGTGCATGCGTGCAGTTTTCTTATGGGTATCGGTTGGACCCTGAGCCTCTCCGGGGTGATGCGTGGCCTAACTCAGCATTCTGCCTGCCTAGACACGGTGATAGCAGTAAGTCTTCCCCATCAGGTAACGAACTCCTACGGACCTAAAGTGTGGGGGGTGGAGCCCACCCCGTGGTACCGTGGGAGAAAGGCCTGGGGAGCTGCCGCCGTAAAGATCACAGCAAAGAAAGCCCCGTGCAGCAGCTCTACTCAGTAACACCCGGGCTGCACGAATCCGACTTGCCTCAAGGGCAGCAGCTTGATTGGGGTTTGGGGGCAGGGGTCGGCCGTCACCGTGGTATGTCACTTGGAACTACTGCTGCACAGATAGCTTGCTGAAGACTTGGAAGCCTTTTGCCTTGCAGTGTCCCTCCAAGCAGGGTGGGCCACCAGCAGCTCCGCGAGAGACACCCACAGGAATGCTGGCTCAGACCCTCATAGCCTGACCCGGAAACCCAGACTCTACGTACCCCCCAGCCTTTCCGCCAGTACTCAAAGGATGTCAGCCGCACCAAGGTGGACCAAGGGATCTCTGAATAGATTATCCAAGACATCTACCCAACAAAAGCAACAATACCAATGATTTGTTAAACATAACATTAAAAAAATTTAAACATGGAAAAAAAAGAAGAGAGAAGTTGCTTGCTGAAACCCCAAAGACAGAGCACACAAATAAGAGCCCGATGCGGTTTTGGTTCTTCCGAAGGAGG